CGATTTCTTTTGCCACATGTACAGAAGTGTTTATTGTCCTTTGTCACCTAGATTTTGGAAGTCGTCCTGAGACTTTATGGGTACACAGACACTCGCATGGGGCCACACTTTGCTTCTGGCATCTGTGGACCCCAGCCCTGCCCTGACCCCCATCCTGGGAGGAGCTGATCTCAGGAATGAGAGAGACCTGGTCACGTCCTGCTGTGAATGTGTCCTCAACAAACCACTTTCCCTCACTCCGCCTCAGTTTCCTCTTTCGAATAGCCAGTGTCCGGGTCCCCACGACTCTTCTCGTCCTGGGTCCACTGGCGACGCGGGAACAGCCAAGATGTCCTTGGCCACCAGGGGGCGAGAGGGACCAGTCCCGTAATACGGACAATGTCGCCACCTGCTGGTGGATCCTGGGTGAACGTGAACAGCTGGATGTGGAGCGCAGGGAGAAACTGGAAATGCAACAGGCCCAGGGGAGCCTAGAAGACCTCCTGCAGACGCCGACCAAGGTCGCCAGCAGAGGCAGGGCAGTCCCCTCAAGGGCTCTGCTGGGAGCTGGCAAGGTCCACGAATACCCAGCTGGTGCCCTTGAAGGAGCCATAGTCTCTGACCCAACCCTGTGAGGTCAGCCTTTGCCAGGCATGTGGCTTCCAAATGTTCCCTGAGCTACGTTCAGCACGGGCCCTGGGGACACCGGAGAGAGGCACACGAGGTCCTTGTCTCACCACAAACTCACAACTCTCAGCCCCCGCAGACTCTCCACGGGATGAAGCCCCAGCTCATCGCACAGTGCCCAGCACCCCGCATCACCTGGTCTCTGCACCCCACTCCAGCCTCACCCCCCAGGACCGAGTCACCACCCAAACCCGCAAACACATGACAGACTTGCCCTCCCTGTTCTCATCTCTGGGCCTTTGCACGTGCTGCACCTCCCGCCTGCGACGCCCTTTCCCCTACTTGTCCTTTACAACTCAATTTATTCGTCACCTCTTCCAGGCAACACCCTCCGACTCCAGGCAGAACTAGCCACCCCAGACTCCGTGCCCCGCCCTCATTACATCCTGTCAGCCTGGCCATGGACATCTGTGCGTATGGCGTCTCTCCCTCACTGGAAGGGCGGGGGGTGTCTAACACATCTCTGCGCCCCGCCCCCCAGCACAGCGCCGGGTACCCAGTGGGCAACGGCACATTGCTGAGGAACAGATGACTGTAAACACATGGCCACAACCCGGTCTTATTAAACAGGCAAGAACGGCCTCGGAATGTCATCGGCCGTTACTCAGTGCATCGCTCTCTCTCTGACCAGACGCTGGGGTCACCGAGGGCAGGCGTCATCTTCCTTACAGCGTATAAAGCACTGTCTTGCCTACTCTCTCCATGCCGGGCTCTGGGCCAAGCACCGGCAGGCACGGCAGTATTTCCAGTGGGAAGGACCAAATGTAGGGAACTGGTACTCAGGAGATGCCTGGAGGGACCGGAGGGGCTGACATCTGGGACACCGCAGAACTGACCAGCCTGGCAAGCTGCCGCCACCTGAGACTCTGAGAGCTCACCTTGCGACGGGGATCAGGAGCCAGAAATGAAAGTCGAGATGTTACAGCTACTGCCACCACCCCGCAAAGGCCTCTCAATCCCCACGGAGCTGGAGGATGGGAAGCACGTGCTGCTGCTGCTGCAGACCTCACTTGTCACCAGAAGGTCAGAAGATGCCCCCTGCCCACTTCCGCCTTCCAAATCTCAAGCAAGGACATCGGACCCGTGGGACCTAGTCGGCATCCAGGACCCCAGCTGCAAAGGCTGCCGCTGAGAAACAGCCCTTAGCGTGTTCAGGAAGTTTATTTCCAGTTTCCCTGGATTTTTCTGGGAAGAGCTGCTAAATGTTATCTAGTGTTTTCTGTAGCATCCCTTGATAAGACCATATGGCTCTTCTCCTTTGATTTACTAACTTTGATGAATGGAGAGTTAAAAGAGGGCATCTGCTGGGGCCTCTCAGAGGTGACATTTGTGATGAGGCCAGGTACCTTCGGTCACAAATATCAGGTGAGAATCTCTGCTTTGAGAGCAGAAAGCAGCCAGCAGCAGCACTTTTCAAGGTTAATGGAGACATGGCACCGCGAGGAACCATCCCGCGAACCTGCCTAAGGTGACTTTACTGTTCGATAGAGGTGTGTGACGGAAAGACTAGGTAAAGACCCACATGTCCCCTTTTAGCTCAGGACCCGAAAGGCACTGGTGAGCAGTTTCCACTTAACGAGCAGCCATTAAAACCTCCCGACAGCGGTAATGAAGCTGTATGGTGACGAATCCCTTTCTACGGTCAGGACACTGAGGCTCCGAGGCTAGGGACCCCCCAGCAGAGCCGGGACAAGCCAGCCCCCGCTGCTCCAAAGCCGGGCACTCCCGGGCGCGTCCGCCAGGTGGGGTCAGCGCCAAGGGACGGAGCGGTCGGGAGGTGGGGGTGCCGCCCGCCCTCCCCGTCC